GGTGAAACCTGGTTTCTAGCGTTCAGTTGGTATAGGTCCCGTCTCCATTGGTTGAGTTGTGTTGAGGACTGTTTGTGTAGATATGCCGCTCTTTTAATAAAAACCCCTCTAACTACCGCCTTGTGAGCTGCCCATATTGTGCCCCTGGCCATTCCCGGCGTGGTGTTCTCTGCAAAATAGTCATGTAGGGCGGATTCTACGTCTTTTTTAAATGTGTTGTCATGTAACAGTGATGCATTCAGTCTCCATGGGCTACGATGTTTGTAATCGTATTGGTCTTTGACCGACAGCGATACTGGTGCATGGTCCGACCACGTGATTTGGCCAATGTCGCTGTCGGCTATTTGGTTGAGTCCCTGCCCATGCACTAAAATCCCGTCTATCCTTGAATATGTGTTGTGAACGTGGGAGAAGTGGGTATATACTCGCTCCGTTGTGTGGGATATTCTCCATGAGTCAAAGTAGTGGTGGAGCGAAAGGAGGTTTTGTATCTTTCTGCAGTGTCTGCGGAGTGCTTTATATCTAGGACTATGTTGTGAGATGTTGGAATCTAGTTTGGGATCCCATACATGGTTGAAGTCTCCACAAATTATAGATATACCCTCTTGAACTGGAGCTAGTTTTTGTAGCAGATGTTGTAGGAACCTGCTCTGGTGTACGTTGGGTGAATAGATATTTGTGATTGTGTATGTCATGTTATTTATAGTGCATTTTAGTATAGCGTATCTCCCATTTGCATCTAGTTCAATGGAGATCAGGGTGAATGCTACTCGTTTAGATATTAGGATGGAGGTCCCCTTGGATTTAGAGGGGGATGTCGCATGGTATTGATGGGGGTAGTCGACCTCTGATGGGGGAATAAAGTTATCTGTTCTATAGTGCGTCTCCTGGAGACATATTACATCTGCGTCAGCGTGTTTTAGTTCCCTATACAGTTGGTGTCTCTTGACCGGTAGGTTCAACCCTCTCACATTTAGGGAGTAGATTTTCATGGGGGTTTATACCCCGTTCGTTTATAGAGGGCCGATATTGAGGGCAAATACCAGGGTGGGGGTTTCGCTCGCCCCAGCAGCATCAAGTCGAGCGACTGTCCCCTGTTTGCGGGTAGTATTGGGCTACACCTTTCTCGCCGTTCGGGAGGATTCCCGGTCAAAATGGGAGGTAGTGGGTGGGGTAACCGTAACTGGGACATTAACCATAACATGAGTAACTTATGTGCCATAAGCGGCTTAGGTACTATATGGTACCTCTGGGGGTGGAAGTGTAACTTCCTCCTGGTGGGGTGCTTCCCCGACTCAGCCCTTACAGTATCTGTTACAATGTTCCTGGCGTCTTGGTATTCTGAACCCAGACTAATGTTGTTAGGTATTCCTCCAGGTTTTTTTTTTTTTTTTTCTTGTATGTACATAGTGTATGTGCTCTATTGTGGCCGTGCCTAACTGTGGCCTACCCACAATGTGTCAATGAGCATTATACGATACCCTTACAGTTCACCAAGGTCAGTGTATCAGGACCAGTCTCTCAATAGTCTCTCGGTACTTCTTGACATCTCCTTGTATGATGTCTGCGTCCTTTAGGCCTTCTCTTTATTTTTTCTCCAGTCCGCGGTGGTGCCGTCCGTCCTCTGCGGGCTGCGTCGCTGGCTTGGATCTGATATGCCCCACCTCTGCAGCATCCGCGTTCCTTCCTCTGGTGTAGTTATGGTGGACACTTTTCCTCCTCTGGATACTAGTATTTTCACTGGGTATCCCCATCTGTATGGTAGTTTGTTGGCTCTGAGTTGTTCCGTAACGCTTTTAAAGTCTCTCCTCCTTTTGAGGGTGTAGGTCGATATGTCTGCAAACACCATCAATCCCCCGTAAGGTTCTGGGAGTTTCTTCTTTGCCCGACTCGTTTGTAGCACTACTTCTTTTACGTGGTAGTAGTGCATTTTTATTAGGACGTCTCTCGGGGTGTCTTGGGGGAGGAAGCTGGGTTTGGCTGTTCTATGGTACCTGTCCATGAGTAACTGGTCTTGTGGTATATCAGGTGCCAGCTTTTTCAGCAGGTCGTGCAGGTATGCCGCCAATTCTGCTTGCCCCACTTCCTCTTTGATTCCGCGAATCCTTAGGTTATTCCGGCGGGCTCTGTCTTCCATGTCTGCCAATTTTAAATCGTATGTTTTCACTTGGTTTTGCAGCTCGGACACCTCTTTCTCTAGCCCTCTGTGTGCTTCCTCCAACTCCGCCATTTTGTTTTCCGTCCCTGTAGTCCTCCCCTCCAGCTCCTGTATGTCTTTATGCATGGCCCTCATAGTAGTTTTAAAACTATGTTCCAACCTTGCAGACATCTCCTCCAGCATGGTTCTCAGCATCTCCTGTGTGAGGGGGGTCTCACTGTTTTGCAGCTGGCTGTATTGTATTGCCGATTCCTCGGCGCCATCTTGGATATCCTCCACCTGGGCCTGTTTCCCCTGCGGTGTCCGCAGGGCGAAAAATGCAGTTTTTTCAGCCCTGTCTGCCTGCCTCTTTCCCTTGGATTGTGCCATGTCGGCTCTGTGTGTCTGTATTCTGGGGATTTTCCGTCGGCTTGTCTGCCAAATTACTCCTTCGGGCTTTGTCGGAACGGAGCGCTCAGTGCATGCGACCGTTCAGCACCGCCGCCAGGCCACGCCCCCCGTACTGACATTTTTGAGTGAAAATGATTGCCAAAAAAATAAATAAAAATTTAACCCCTTAAGGACCAAACTTCTGGAATAAAAGGCAATCATGACATGTCACACGTGTCATGTGTCCTTAAGGGGTTAAAGATCTAAATGTGAACAAAATCACCATGAAAACCTTGTTTAAGCTTAATTCAATGGTTTCCATGGTGATTGTTAAATTTTTCAGCTTTCTCTACTTGTCTTCATATATACAGCAAATGTAATCATCCTGCGTACAATACGGATGGTTGATCCCAAAATACAATGAAAAAAATTTAGTTTAAAAAAATGGGAACTAACCAAACTTATTAAAGGGACACTATTGTCACCTGAACAACTTTACCTTAATGAAGCAGTTTTGGTGTATAGAACATGCCCCTGCAGCCTCACTGCTCAATCCTCTGCCATTTAGGTGTTAAATCCCTTTGTTTATGAACCCTAGTCACACCTCCCTGCATGTGACTTGCACAGCCTTCCATAAACACTTCCTGTAAAGAGAGCCCTATTTAGGCTTTCTTTATTGCAAGTTCTGTTTAATTAAGATTTTCTTATCCCCTGCTATGTTAATAGCTTGCTAGACCCTGCAAGAGCCTCCTGTATGTGATTAAAGTTCAATTTAGAGATTGAGATACAATTATTTAAGGTAAATTACATCTGTTTGAAAGTGAAACCAGTTTTTATTTTCATGCAGGCTCTGTCAATCATAGCCAGGGGAGGTGTGGCTAGGGCTGCATAAACAGAAACAAAGTGATTTAACTCCTAAATGACAGTGAATTGAGCAGTGAAATTGCAGGGGAATGATCTATACACTAAAACTGCTTTATTTAGCTAAAGTAATTTAGGTGACTATAGTGTTCCTTTAAAGTCAGAAGGCATTTATTTACCTCATAGAACATTAAAATCCAATCCAAAATATTGTCTGATAAAGTTTGTGAAACGCATAGGCTACATGTGTCTTTTTTTGACCTTTCCACTGTTGTGTGGCTTTTTCGTTATATTTTGGAAATTACGCAGCCTGGTAAAAACAAACAGAGTAGTTCATTAGGGTATGTCTACTAAATGATGATTCCCTACGTTCAATGTTCCTTTAATCTTATATTGATTTTTTTGTTATATTTCTGTTCTATTTTACAGAATGACCAAGCAACATTTTAACAGTCCCTCTTGCAATATAGATGTTTTAAATTATTATTGTTCCAGAGCTTTAAATCTGTCAAACTTAGCTTCAGACAGTTTTAGACCTTGAATGAAAACTCACTTCAAAGCTATCTTTTAATAAAATGATCCTTTTAACAATTTTTGAAAGAAAATATATTCTCTGTTACATAGTTACATAGTAACATAGTTACATAGCTGAAAAGAGGCTTGTGTCCATCAAGTTCAGCCTTCCTCACATTTGTTTTTTGCTGTTGATCCAAAAGAAGGCAAAAAAAAACAGTTTGAAGCACTTCCAATTATGCAACAAACTAGGAAACAAATTCCTTCTTGACCCCAGAATGGCAGTCAGATTTATCCTTGGATCAAGCAGTTATTACCCTACATTGAAAGATTATATCCTTGAATATTCTGTTTTTGCAAGTATGCATCTAGTAGCCGTTTGAACATCTGTATGGACTCTGATAAAACCACTTCTTCAGGCAGAGAATTCCACATCCTGATTGTTCTTACAGTAAAAAAACCTTTCCTTTGCCTTAGACAAAATCTTCTTTCTTCCAGTCTAAATGAAGTATCTGTAAAATAATAAGAAAATCTCATTCCTACCTTTGGTATATGAGAGTGTCCTTCCGCCATTTACATACAACTTGTATCAGACAGTGTTTGAAAGCTTCAATATAGTCTCTACGGTCTTTCCTGCGTCACTCCCTGCGCAGTGCAGTGACATCATCATAGAGACTATAATCTGTCTAAATAAAAACCTGTCTGACCCAAGGTGTACATATATGGCTGACGGTTGATGACGTATACTGAAGTTAGGAATGCATTTTTCTCATTTTATTTTTTTACATATACTTAATTTAACAAAGAATCGATTTCCTCTCAAAACTTGACAAAAGGATTATTACATTAAAAATAAGTGTTGACATGACAGTTGTCCTTTAATTGTGGAATCTCGAAATGTGCTCACTTCATGTTAAACCAGCGTGCGTCCTAGAATGTATCAGCAAGCATCAGTGATTACACACTCAGAGCACAAACATAATGGCTTTATTCGGTGGTAGCCCACAGCGTCAGCAAACAGATCCTCGCATTTTTGCTGAGTGATTGCTGAAATTGTTTTTGTTGAGTCAGCAAAACCAAGATTGTCACGGATTCCTTGCAGAGAATGACACGTCTAGGTGGCATTAACCAGGGTGTTACCGTGAATAAAAATTATTTTGGTCTGTTTTCAATCTTTCAGAAGAAGAAATCAAACTGTTGAGAATTTTTGTGGGGGAGAAGAATCCTGTGCAAAGATTAAAATGTCCATTTGAAATTTTGGGAGGTATGGTGTAGTGTGTGCTAGCTGTATGTAGTGTGCTCGTAATATTTGCTGGCTGTATATGTGTGTGTGTGTCGCGTGTGAGATGATCTGTTTAGCCGCTCTCCTGCTTGGCTTCAAGAAAGGGGGCTATGAACTATGATCCACTGGGTTCCAGTCTGGGTTCCAGTTCCAGTCTGGGTATCATACTTAATGTTGGCCCAGCAGGTTTTACCTCTCCTTGGTGGTCCAGTGGGGGAGCGTGACACCTAGTAATCGCTCCCTCACAGTTCAGCACTCAGTGAGTCACAGTCAGGCTGGGACTGGCCATCGGGTAGGCCGTGACGGCCATGGGCTGAGGCCAGCAGGAAAGATCAAAGGATCTCCCTTGCCATCCCATGCAGAGCAGACACCTGCCACACTTCTCATATTCACAGCTGGTGGGGAGACAAGCCAAATACATCCCTGGCACACTATGGACACACACCAGATCTCTTACTGACACATACTGCATCAACTACACACACAGTACATCCCTGACACACAGAATATCATTGACACACACAGTACACCCCTGACACACACAGTATATCCCTGACATACACAATACACCCCTGAAACACACAGTACATCCCTGACACACACAGTACACCTTGACACACAGTATATCCCTGACATACACAGTACAACCCTGATACACACACTATATCCCTGACATACACAGTACACCCCTGAAACACACAGTACATCCCTGACACACACAGTACACCTTGACACACAGTATATCCCTGACATACATAGTACAACCCTGATACACACAGTATATCCCTGAAATACACAGTACACCCCTGAAACACACAGTACACCCCTGACACACGCAGTACACCTTGACACACAGTATATCCCTGACATACACAGTACACCCCTGAAAAACACAGTACACCCCTGTACACAAGACCGCCAGGGAGCCCACCGGACCGCAGCCAGGGAATGAAGGACACTGGACCACAAGGGAAATAAGGTATTTAATCTCACCCCCTCCCTCCCAGTATCCCCCCTCACTATCACCCCCCTCCAGTATAACCCCTCCCACACCACCATAACCCCCTCCCTATCACCCCATCCCAGTATACTCCCTCCCTTCCAGTATCCCCCCTCAATATCACCCCCTCCAAGTATATTCCCTCCAACACCACCATTACCCCCCTTTCCAGTATACCCCACCCTCCAGTTGTCTGCCATTGAAAAATGAATACTGAAGGAGTGCGTCTTTAAATATCTCTCTACTTTCTAATCTCCGAATATTTGGATGTGGCTGAGATGCCAACATCCCACTGAGCAGCTGGCAGGTTACATCTAGGTGTTAAAACATTATGGATTAGTTTTAGAATATATAGGTTACACAGGTTAACACTGGTATCAGTTTACTGGGAGTCAGTGTTACATTATTGTATTCTGTGATACTTTGTGAATGGAGTGTGTTCATAGAGAGAGGGAAATACTGCCCTCTAGTGTACATAGTCATACTGACGTAGTGTCTTTCTGATATATACTATAGAGCTGTTACAGAGGAAATGCCCTTACAGTGCCTGGTTTATTCTTAATGTGTGACTTCATTATGACAGCGCAGTTATAGGCTCCTCCCTCAACCTACAAATGGAGAGTAACACTGTGATTGACACTTTGCAGGGGCATATTATCTAAACTGCCAATTCTGGAGCTGTGGGAAAACTAGCCCAATACCCATATTGAGAAATATGAGAACTCCCCCTGGCCACCAATCATGAATTCATGATTTATTTTTTTAAAGCGGCACCTTCCTCTGCAAATTGAGTATTTCAGTTTGCAGAATCTTTATGACATACTCATTTTGACGGTGTTGGAATTTCACTTAAATTTCAACCAAGGCAAGAGATATAGAGAGACAAAGTAGGGACACTTCTAGTCACTGCCTAGTCACTGGCCGGAGCTACCACCATCTAGAAGAGTCATTCCCCCAGCCGTCACCACTGACGGCTGCAGGGAATTGGCTCAATCTATGGAGGATCCCGCAGTTTTGCATGAATCTTCACAGACCTCAATGCTGTACTCTCGCTCATTCGGAATAATACAGCAGTGACATCGGCTACTGGTGCTTTTGCAGAAGAGGACCTTCCGGAAGAAGATGGCGGCGCCCGGGAGGGACAGATTCGGGTAAGTTAAACTCACCTGTGCCTGCACCCCCACGGCTACTGAACCCTCAGCGGCCATATCAACGTCAGACGGTGACAGCGCCACTTTAAACCATTGTTGTTTTATTATCTTTTCTCAAGGAAGGCACTTTTTTTGTTTACAGCAGTATGGTGGTGACTTGTGGTAAACTGAAAGCTGAATTGCAAAATTGATACTAAAATAGTTGAAATGGAAAATCCGAAATAAAAAAACATACATTTTTCCAACTCTTTTAGCCTAAGGTTTGTGATTTAATTTTTATTTGCCACAGTTCAGTGTTTAGTGAATTAAAGGGACACTCCAGACACCAATAGCACTTTAGCTTGCTGAATTACTTTATGTGTGAAGAGTATGTCCTCTTCTTCTAAAGAGCAGATTTCAGTAGAAATTGGGGCTTTTACTGTATAAGTGAACCCAGACAACCCAACCAACCGGACATGTTACTTCCTGGTTTGGTTAGCTCAGTGGAGACAAACTCAAGAGGCAGTATTTATCCAGAGCACCTGGCTTGCCTTCTCATTGAGCTGCATTGGGAAGCCTGTGATTGGACAGTCACAGAAAGCCTATGCGGGTTAGAAGGGGAGGGATTGCAAAGGCAGCAGACATGAGATCTGCAGCTTTTACAAGCGGATTCTGGGTATATTCCCAATGAACAAAAAAATGCATAATTATCTACTTAACATTGATATCTGCTTATCTACTAATCCAATCTGGTAATGCAATGATTTATAGGTAACTATTTCTGTTTAATCCATGTAAACCACAAAGCCCAGGCTTTCAAGTAATCCTTGTTGGGATATATCTGTTCTCAGATGATATAGAATGCGTAACATCCACACTAATACTCGTTTATTGCAAACTTGTCACATTTTAGGCTGGAAAGGTATCATGGTAATTGTAGTTCTCCTACAGTCAGAGAGCTACTTTTCTGGATTTTGCTGTTCTAGAACATTCTACTATAAGGAAAGATCCCATATAAATAATGGAATGCAGAATTAATTGCTCTATATAAAGCCTGCTATTTACAAGAACTGTTTCACATTCACTGCTCAAATGCCATATTTGAATACAAATCTAAAGTGAATATGACTGTACAGCAGGAATTCAGACCCAAATTTGGGGGCAGCGGTTCTGGACATTGGCCTCTTTCCATGACCCTTCTGTCAAAGGCTTCCGGAAGTTGGCAGTAATGTGGAATTCTCCTATATGGAATAGATCCTCTCCGCTTACTAATTGTCATGCGTCTCCTTGGCATCTCATACCGGAGAGAAGGTTTGCTTCACATCAGACCTGCAACGAGAGAAATAAAAATAAATAATATTAACTGTTTCATACAATTACAAGGTAGAAAATCATAAAGGAACCTTTGGTTATGTAAGTATTAAATTACCTTCGTACTCCAGATAACCAGAGTTCCATCCTTCCCAGTACTGCTAATGCTAGTCACGTTGGCAGGGTCTCCATCCACAATAGACATATGGCTGGAGTGGTAAAGAGAAATTGTTAATTAGCACCAATAATGAGCTGTGTTCTAGCCCTAGATATATCCCGTGACCCACAGAACCATGCCTCCGTAACATACTGGCTTTTTATTGTGTATAGAATAAAGTTCTGAATGCACTCCACCCATGACTTAGATACGCCAGCTTTGGCTTGGAATTTTCAGAACGTCATAGATTCTCAAACTGTCTTCTAAAAATGCACTATATGTATTACACTATATATGATCAGGGAATCATTTCAGACATAGGTTTGGAACTAGGTATCTAACTCCCATTATCCCTGGGCAGCTACAGGATTCAGCCTCAGCAACAATGTACAAACAGGGCACAGTGTATCCCAAACCCCAGTTCATAACCAAAGGGACACTGTAGGCACGTTAACAAATTCATTTTACTGAAGTTGTTATAGTACCTGCAGTGCTGTACTGCTCCCTGTATCTGTAGCCTTAGGAGTACATATATATATTCCTAACGCTACATTTTTCTTTAAATAAATTAGTTGTCTCAAATTCTAGTATGGAATCATTCAGTTGTAGAATTCTTTTCACCTGCCTATAATCAGACCTTGTCATTTGGAAGTGTAGTGAATACACCCCACTGTGATAGCTCTGTATGTAGGAGAGATCATTACCTGATGCTGTTCTGATGAAGGGTGTCAAGCTCTGCGTTGTCTTGTTCCTTAGCTTTCTTGTCCAGATTCCTGAAGTGCTGCATTGCTGACATTTCCGATTTAGAACTTTGCTTCTGAGTGTCGAGTTTGCCCTCAAGCACCAACTGTCCGGGACCATAGTACGACAAGAGGTAGGGGGAGCAGTTGTGGCCCTGATAGGTAAGGAATGCTGAAATTAATGATTTCACCAAACACTATTTAATCCACTCAGCACTTTTGCGTATTTATAAAGGCAGAATCCCATTTCTTGCTAACCTCTACTTCCTTTGGACATAAATGGTACACCACCAAGTAGTTAAAACAAAAATATCCTGTTGCCAGCTGAGTGGAATCGAAATCAGCTCAACAATGAAAAACCCAAGTTCTGTGTGGCTGTCTGCTTTTTTCCGATCCTATAAAGTGACAGCCATCTCTACTCTGAATAATTGTTAGATGTTTAAGTGTCAATTTACAGCTAATATTAATACAAGTAGAAATAGTTTGAAAACAAATTTATTTAAAGGCAATTAATGGTGATTGAGAGTCTTTGAAGAACCACTCCAAGCACCAACACCACTAATTGTTTTGTAGTGGTTATGGTCCCAAGAGTGCCTTGGCGTCTCTCCATTAAAAGTAGTCACACTGTTTGTTCCTACTGATTGATGCAAATTCTCTACATATCTCAAGTCAGACCTTGAGAAAAGTCCTCATTGGACACAATAATTCTCCCAGAATTCCCAGCTCACAGTGCCAATGGGCAGAGGCACGCATCATGTTTGGTGTATCAGTGCCAATGGGCAGAGGCAGGCATCGTGTTGGGTGTATCATGATACATTTCTGCAGGCACCCCGTGGAGCACGGCTTTAAACACAGGATTTTTTAAAACCAAAGTCAGGGTTGTGATTCAGAAGGTTCAATGATGGTCTTACAGAAATGCAGGATGAGTCAGAAACATGATTCTTGTGCTCATTTGCATGTTAAGATGGACACATGATATCACGAGAATTACTGTGCCCAATTAGGATTTTTCCCAATGTTCTTCTCAAGATATTTAAATGTTGCAAAACAGTACATTCTGAATTCGCACAAACCACTGGGGAGTTTTATTGCGTTGGGTGTCACCACAACTTTTTTGTTACTTACGTAGGTGCTAGAAAAATACTTCAACGTGTACACTAGAGCCAGCACCATTCTGACGGGTATATTCAGAGTGTGTTATATTTTAAAGTACTATGTTATTAAAGAGGAAAACATGTTTAAAAACACACACTTCCAGTTATTTTTGTTTTTTTAATCGTCTATTTATATGTCTTTTAGTCAAGAGATGCTGAAAAAAATTATTTTGAAAAACTTTCCATGCTCACTTTAATTGTGTTTGTAGATTTCAATTCTGGAGAACAGAGGGTCCGGGCTCTGATATTTTTAGCCACAGATGATCCGTGTTTAGAGAACTATTGAGTATGTCTCAGTATAATAGTCACTAGTCAGACTTTGGGAAAAGCACAAAATAGCTAAAAGAATTCAGCTGATGTCATGGAATAACCACAGTAATGGTGTAACTTCACTGTAGTTCCGTGATGACACATGATTTTACATTACACCAGATTATTTTAAAATAGATCAATAAAATTGGCAGAAAATCTGCCCACTGACCAAGTGCCACGCGGTGGCCACGTTGCGCTGTTTCACAAAGTACATTTGTATAAAATAAGAATCCAATAATTACCAATAATCTAAAAATAATAAATTCAAATTTACTGGAGGGAACTAATGTCAAAGTCCAGAAGATTTTAAAACCAAACTCACCAGATAGACCCTGCCTGCTGACTTTAAATTTATGGAGATCCATCTATCTTGAGTTTAGCTGAAAACGTCTGCAACCCTTATCATTTTGGCAAATTTTATAATTAGGAAATTGTGAGCGAATGTCTAAATTAAACAGTTACGTTGGCCCAGAGAACTATATAGCTTTAACATATCTTTCTAGCTATGGACTATTGGTCTTGCGGAGATGAGCGAGGGAGCTTTCTGTATGATTTCAAAATAGAAACAACAACAAAATTATAAACTTACAGCAGCGACAAGCCGGGTTTCATTCACAAATAGCACACTCAGGAAGGGCAACAAGTCCGTCTTCATTTCAGTCAATCTGAAACAGACAGGAAACAGCTCTGAACAGGTGCACTGGGACAGACAGATTTACATCCACTTTGAGAGGACAGGAAACACTCCACTTAATGTCCCATAGCAGAACTTCAAGTGCACTGCCAAGGGACAGTATTTGGGTCTTGCATGTCACTTTGCACCTAATTTACCCTGAGGTCAGGCCTGTGTTATGGAAAGGAGCTACCCGCTGCCCGTGTGACTGCAACGGGGGCTTACTCAGGTCTGAAAATAACTTCATAAGTGTAAACATTTAATGGTGTTTTAAAAAGTCGGTCATTGTTATTCAAATTAATTTTGTGGCTTGTTGGGGATTCAAACCAAATTAAAAGTGAACCTCAGATAACTCAAATAAAAAAACAGCTTACTTAGAAAATATTTCCGATTTTAAATTCTCTTTGTATTCAATCTGAATTTTACATGCTGCTCAACCAGCCAAAGTTAACTAGCACTGCTCGAAAGAGTGGCCTTTGCAAAGAATAGTTTCCCAGTAGGGGTGGTAGAAGAGAAATAAGCAACGTGATGTTTGATGTAGTTTGTAGGTGACTGTTTTATACTGAAAAAAGAAAACTAAGTAATTGTAACTAGTCTATAATGTTCTCATTTTCTGTTTTCCCTGGCTTACTTCCATCTTTTTATACTTCTCTTCTACATCTTGTTTTGTATTTTAAATAGCTGGGAAGTTAATGTGCAATTTTCTTTGAAATGTGACACCATTCTAGTTATTTGTTGATATCATTTTTTGCAATCTGAAATTGTCCTCACTCTAAAAAAATAAACAAACAAAAAAACATTATAAAAAAACATTATAGAAATATATTTGGGGCCAGTACAAACCATTATCTGAAAATCTATTCATAAACAGGGCTATACATAGGACACGAGGACACACATCTAGGCTGGAAGAAAGGATTTTTCATCTAAGGCAAAGGAAGGTTTTTTTTTTTACAGTAAGAGCGTATGTTTAAACTGCAATTGGATAAGTACTTGCAAAAACATAACATTCAGGGATATCATTTCTAATTAGTGGGGTAATAGCTGCTTGATCCAAGGAGACATCTGACTGCCATTTTGGGGTCAATAAGGATTTTTTTCCTAGTTTGTTGCAAAATTGGAAGCACTTCAGACCAGGTTTTTTGCCTTCTTTTGGATCAACAGCAAAAACATGTGTGAGGAAGGCTGAACTTGAGGGACGCAAGTCTCTTTTCAGCTATGTAACTATGTAACGTGTTTTTGATCTAAATGTTTCCTAAATACACCCTTACAGTGTGTACAGTGTGTAGGAAAATATTTTTTCTAAACTAAAAATTGTGAAGAATCGGCGATTGATTTTATCACAAAATAGCAGAATTCGTCAACTAAGCTATTTTTACAATTTGGGTAATTTGGATCTCAGTTTGCACTTTCCTATTGAACTCTTGGTTTATTGAATAGCCTCAATGTTTGCAAAGAGGCTTCTGACTGATTTGTTACTTACATTTTGTCTTGCGTTGAGTCTGCCACGTTGACTGAGCTGTTATGGTCGACCCATGCAAGGTATTGCCCGCTCGGAGAGAAACAAACACTGTGCACCCAACCACCTTTCTCCCCTCTTTCATACAAGAGCTCTCCAAACGGCATCTTTGTACCCCACAGTGTTGCACTTGGCTTGTCTTCGATTTCTTTCACGTATGCTGAAAAAATTCTGTGCAAAACCCCACATACATTATGCAAGAGAATAATATACTGTAAAAACATGCTTCTCTAACTGAGTATTCCATCTACTCCCCAGAGACTTGGGATTTTTCTCATCACATCCAAAATGTTTTAACTGTTTTACATTGTTAGTTCTACTGTAATACTATTATAGATATACACCAGCTTTTATATATCATGGCTTCCAATGAAATACTATTCAATGCATCTCCTATCATTTCTGCAAATTACCCCATGACAGAAAGAGCATCAGTAATTAACTGTGATGCCAGAATTTCTTTATTTGCTTATAGTAGAACGGACAACATTATATGACCACATGTATCTGACACAATCCTGTGAAATGTATTTTACCTGCACTGGAAATCGCTGCTCCCCGCAGCAAGGAGTACATTGTTGGGGTGCCACGCTAGACCTAGTATGGTAGACTTGATTGACTTTTTGATGTGCTTACTCAGCCACCTGGAGGGAAAAAAATTCAATGAGATAGTAAAGTCTCTCTACCGCTGCTCGCTAAAGTCTGTTGCTACTTTTTGTAGCAGCTACTTTCACGATTAAAGGACCACTCTAGGCACCCAGACCACTTGAGCTTAATGAAGTGGTCTGGGTGCCTGGTCCAGCTAGGGTTAACCCATTTTTTCATAAACATAGCAGTTTCAGAGAAACTGCTATGTTTATGAATGGGTTAAGCCTTCCCCCTAATCCTCTAGTGCCTGTCTCATTGACAGCCGCTAGAGGCGCTTGCGTGCTTCTCACTGTGATTTTCACAGTGAGAGCACGCCAGCGTCCATAGGAAAGCATTATGAATGCTTTCCTATGTGACAGGCTGAATGCGCGCGCAGCTCTTGCCGCGCGTGCGCATTCAGCCGACGGGGAGGAGAAGAGGAGGAGAAGAGGCAGAGAGCTCCCCGCCCAGCGCTGGAAAAAGGTAAGTTTTTCCCCCTTTCCCCCTTCCAGAGCCGGGCAGGAGGGGGACCCTGAGGGTGGGGGCACCCTCAGGGCACTATAGTGCCAGGAAAACGAGTATGTTTTCCTGGCACTATAGTGGTCCTTTAATGACAGTGTTACCGGCTGCCGCATCTGAAAGCCCCTCACTAAGTAGAAGTTAACAGCTCCTATTATTCTCTCTAGGAGTCGCTAACATCTACTTAGCAACCAGTTCTGTTTCCAACCCAGTTGCTTCTTATTATTGGCTGCTGCTAACCCAAAAAACTTAAATCGTCTGGATTGATTGACTGAAGTTGAAGGGCCACTATACAGGGAGTGCAGAATTATTAGGCAAATTAGTATTTTGACCACATCATCCTCTTTATGCATGTTGTCTTACTCCAAGCTGTATAGGCTCGAAAGCCTACTACCAATTAAGCATATTAGGTGATGTGCATCTCTGTAATGAGAAGGGGTGTGGTCTAATGACATCAACACCCTATATCAGGTGTGCATAATTATTAGGCAACTTCCTTTCCTTTGGCAAAATGGGTCAAAAGAAGGACTTGACAGGCTCAGAAAAGTCAAAAATAGTGAGATATCTTGCAGAGGGATGCAGCACTCTTAAAATTGCAAAGCTTCTGAAGCGTGATCATCGAACAATCAAGCGTTTCATTCAAAATAGTCAACAGGGTCGCAAGAAGCGTGTGGAAAAACCAAGGCGCAAAATAACTGCCCATCAACTGAGAAAAGTCAAGCGTGCAGCTGCCACGATGCCACTTGCCACCAGTTTGGCCATATTTCAGAGCTGCAACATCACTGGAGTGCCCAAAAGCACAAGGTGTGCAATACTCAGACACATGGCCAAGGTAAGAAAGGCTGAAAGACGACCACCACTGAACAAGACACACAAGCTGAAACGTCAAGACTGGGCCAAGAAATATCTCAAGACTGATTTTTCTAAGGTTTTATGGACTGATGGAATGAGAGTGAGTCTTGATGGGCCAGATGGATGGGCCCGTGGCTGGATTGGTAAAGGGCAGAGAGCTCCAGTCCGACTCAGGCGCCAGCAAGGTGGAGGTGGAGTACTGGTTTGGGCTGGTATCATCAAAGATGAGCTTGTAGGGCCTTTTCGGGTTGAGGATGGAGTCAAGCTCAACTCCCAGTCCTACTGCCAGTTCCTGGAAGACACCTTCTTCAAGCAGTGGTACAGGAAGAAGTCTGCATCGTTCAAGAAAAACATGATTTTCATGCAGGACAATGCTCCATCACACGCGTCCAAGTACTCCACAGCGTGGCTGGCAAGAAAGGGTATAAAGAAGAAAATCTAATGACATGGCCTCCTTGTTCACCTGATCTGAACCCCATTGAGAACCTGTGGTCCATCATCAAATGTGAGATTTACAAGGAGGGAAAACAGTACACCTCTCTGAACGGTGTCTGGGAGGCTGTGGTTGCTGCTGCACGCAATGTTGATGGTGAACAGATCAAAACACTGACAGAATCCATGGATGGCAGGCTTTTGAGTGTCCTTGCAAAGAAAGGTAGCTATATTGGTCACTGATTTGTTTTTGTTTTGTTTTTGAATGTCAGAAATGTATATTTTTGAATGTTGAGATGTTATATTGGTTTCACTGGTAATAATAAATAATTGAAATGGGTATATATTTGTTTTTGTTAAGTTGCCTAATAATTATGCACAGTAATAGTCACCTGCACACACAAATATCCCCCTAACATAGCTATAACTAAAAACAAACTAAAAACTACTTCCAAAAATATTCAGCTTTGATATTAATGAGTTTTTTGGGTTCATTGAGAACATGGTTGTTGTTCAATAATAAAATTAATCCTCAAAAATACAACTTGCCTAATAATTCTGCACTCCCTGTAGTCATCAAAACAACTTTAGCTTAATGAAGCAGTTTGGGTGTATAGATCATGCCCCTGCAGTCTCACTGCTCTATTATCTGCCATTTAGGCGTTAAATTACCTTTGTTTCTGTTTATGCAGTCCTAGTATAAACAGGCCCTGGCTGTGACTGACACAGGCTGCATTAAAAAAATGGTTTAATTTTCAATCAGTTGTTAACTCACTTAAAAAGTTTTTATCTCCTGCTGTGTAAATATAACTTTAATCACATGTACAAGGCTCCTGCCAGAGCTAGCAAGCTATTAACAGAGCATGGGGTAAGAAATTCTAAATTAAACACAATGTACAGTGAAGGAAGTGTAAACATTAGATAACTCTTGGCAGGAAGTGTTTAGGAAGGCTGCATAAGTCACATGCAGGGAGGTGTGGCTACGGCTGCATAAACAAAGTGAGACTGCATGGGTATGATCTATACACCAATACTGCTTTATTAAGCAAAACATATTTTGGTGACTATAGTGTCTATTTAATTGACAGTTAAATATACATCTTCATAAAAAACACATATTAAATATATGGCACTACATTGAAACTCTAAACCACTTAGAGCATAGTAAACCGTTTCAATGTGTATTAAATTAAATGAAAAGGCCAGATGCATGATGTAAAAAATAAAGTTATTTTTTTTCTTATAATAAAGTGCGTGTTTTATTTAAATGAACAATTCTCGTAGCAGAAATTATATAGATCTGCATCTAGCACGGTACAAAAACATAGCTTAATACATTGTTGCAGTCTCTGGTTGAGACCATCATGTAGTGACATGCTCAGGGTGACAACTTACACTGTGCCTGTTTCTGCGTTTTACCAGCAAGCTGCTAATCTCCAAGTGGTCGGTATCTTGTGAGCGACGTTATTGGCGTAAAAAGTAACATAAAGTTGGGAAAATTGTTGGTAAATATTATTTACTAATTTCCAGCTGTTTTTAATAGCGACAGCTTGCACCTGCTATTGAAAACGTGTCCATGGCCGGTAACTTTCAAGAAATAGTCAGGGATCCTGGGTGGTTTTAGTTAAAAAAATGTTTGATCCAAGCTGCTAGCAGTTTGAGCATTGAATTTAACAGTATCCTATAGTAGTGTGGATTTCTTACTGGGATATGTCTAGATGGAGGCATGGAAGTGTGAGCTTCTATATTTAATTTTCTTTTTCAGACCTCACAAACACATAATTGTTAAATATATTGGTGATGGGTTCCCCTAAACACTTCCTCTAACCCAGTGATGGCTCCCATTAAACATTTCCTCTAACCCAGTGATGGCTCTCTTTAAACACTTCCTCTAACCCAGTGATGGCTTCCTTTAAACACTTCCTCTAACCCAGTGATGGCTTCCTTTAAACACTTCCTCTAACCCAGTGATGGCTTCCTTTAAACACTTCCTCTAACCCAGTGATGGCTCTCTTTAAACACTTCCGCTAACCCAGTGATGGCTCCCTTTAAACACTTCCTCTAACCCAGTGATGGCTTCCTTTAAACACTTCCGCTAACCCAGTGATGACTTTATTTAAACACTTCCTCTAACCCAGTGATGGCTTCATTTAAACACTTCCTCTAACCCAGTGATTGCTCTCTTTAACCCCTTCCTCTAACCCAGTGATGGCTCCCTTTAAACACTTCCTCTAACCCAGTGTTGGCTCCCTTTAAACACTTCCTCTAACCCAGTGATGGCTTCCTTGAAACACTTCTGCTAACCCAGTGATGGCTCCCTTTAAACACTTCCTCTAACCTAATGATTGCTTCCTTTAAACACTTCCTCTAACCCAGTGATGGCTGCCTTTAAACACTTCCTCTAACCCAGTGATTGCTCTCTTTAAACACTTCCTCTAACCCAATGATGGCTCCCTTTAGACACTTACTCTAACCCAGTGATGGCTCGCTCTAAATACTTCCTCTAACCCAGTGATTGCTGCCTTTAAACACTTCCTCTTACCCAATGGTCACTCCCTCTAAACACTTCTTCTAACTGTCACGACTACTAGTGTGGTCCAGCACGCAGAAACTATGTAAACATATACATAAGAAGGAAAAGGAAAATAAAAGGACAGAGCGTAAACCGGACCTTAGAATGGCCGGACTAATACGCTAGAGACAGAGAATGGTCAAAGGAAAAGCTGAGGTCAAGGAAGCCAGAAAATACACAATACCGTTTACACAAGCCAAGTCAGGGAAACCAGATTTCAGAATAACCAGGGAAAAGCCAAGATCAGGATACCAGGGAATCAGATTCACAAAGATAAAGCACTCTCAGGAAACCAGGAACAGGAAACCACAACAGAGCTAGGGATTTAAATATTCCTCTCTATGCTCTGATTGGTCAGAGGGCAACCTCTGACCCCAAAACGTGCGTGTGCGTTGACGTCGTGACGTCACGCGCACATTATTATAATTTTCGGGGGCAGAGCTAGAGATGGACGCGACCACGCGGTCAGCACCATTTTTAAGCGCCATTCCTCTAACCCAGTGATGGCTCCCTTTAAACACTTCCTCTAACCCAGTGATGGCTCCATTTAAACACTTCCTCTAACCCAGTGATGGCTCCCTCTAAATACTTCCTCTAACCCAGTGATTGCTGCCTTTAAACACTCCCCCTAACCCAGTGATGGCTCTCTTTAAACACTTCCTCTAACCCAGTGATGGCTTCCTTTAAACACTTCCTCTAACCCAGTGATGGCTTCCTTTAAACACTTCCTCTAACCCAGTGATGGCTCTCTTTAAACACTTCCGCTAACCCAGTGATGGCTTCCTTTAAACACTTCCTCTAACCCTGTGATGGCTTCCTTTAAACACTTCCTCTAACCCAGTGATGGCTTCCTTTAAACACTTCCGCTAACCCAGTGATGACTTTATTTAAACACTTCCTCTAACACAGTGATGGCTTCATTTAAACACTTCCTCTAACCCAGTGATTGCTCTCTTTAACCCCTTCCTCTAACCCAGTGATGGCTCCCTTTAAACACTTCCTCTAACCCAGTGTTGGCTCCCTTTAAACACTTCCTCTAACCCAGTGATGGCTTCCTTGAAACACTTCTGCTAACCCAGTGATGGCTCCCTTTAAACACTTCCTCTAACCCAGTGATGGCTCCATTTAAACACTTCCTCTAACCCAGTGATGGCTCCATTTAAACACTTCCTCTAACCCAGTGATGGCTCCCTCTAAACACTTCCTCTAACCCAGTGATTGCTGCCTTTAAACACTTCCCCTAACCCAGTGATGGCTCCCTTTAAACACTTCCTCTAACCCGGTGATGGCTCCATTTAAATACTTCCTCTAACCCAGTGATGGCTCCATTTAAACACTTACTCTAACCCAGTGATGGCTCCCTCTAAATACTTCCTCTAACCCAGTGATTGCTGCCTTTAAACACTTCCCCTAACCCAGTTTTGGCTCCCTTTAAACACTTTCTCTAATCCAGTGATGGCTCCATTTAAACACTTCCTCTAACCCAGTGATGGCTCCCTCTAAATACTTCCTCTAACCCAGTGATGGCTGTTTTTAAACACTTCCCCTAACCCAGTGATGTCTTCATTTAAACACTTCCTCTAACCCAGTGATGGCTGTCTTTAAACACTTCCTCTAACCCAATGATGGCTCCCTTTAAACACTTCCTAACCCAGTGATAGCTATCCTTGGTACACCAGATGTTTGTGAACTGCATTATTTATTAAGCTCAGCCAGTTATGGTAACTACCATGATTAACAAAGTTCTGAACCATCCGACTTGGTATCCCTATTCTGGCCTGTTACTGAGAGCCTAAACTTGCCCACAGTTACTGTATGCATTCTTTGCCTACTTTATGACATAATACATCCCCTAAAAATAATTGCTGATTGAATTGTGATGTTCCTGGAGAGAGCCGGAGACATGTAATGAAATATTTCCTTTCCCATGCCCTGGATAAAGTTCTGGCAATCCTGTCTTGTGACATAATCAGTCACAATAAGTCAACTCACTCACCAGTCATTTTCTTTCTCAAAATAACAGATGGAGATAGTCTGGGAGCCGCTCCCTACTGCAATCTTGTTCTCCTGCGGTGACCACTTGACGCAAGTCGCGGCACGGTTAATGCGCAGAAGTACTAGCGTTGGTTTCCACACTCCATCTCTTAGCGACCACACATAAGCGTTTCTGTCCGCAGCGCAGGTCACGATGCGGTTAGAGTTGGGCGCCCAATCAATACCTACAAAATATTCGGTGCTCATTACATTTCTCCATTATAGCATAAAAAATGCATTTCCATTGGATAAGAATGAAGAATTAAAAAAACATATAGAGTAAATGTTAATGTTTGTCTTTAACAACCTCACACAAACATTTTTATTTCTATATAGTCCAGAGGAAACAAAATGCAATACAGTATTTTTCCTTCTTTAAAATCAAAGATAAATGAATAAAATTATATTTGTTTTATAAACTAAAGGGTCACTTTAGCAAGTTTGCATAATTCCAAAGCTGATGAGGCGTAAAACACAGGCACAGGTCTGAGAGTGGCTTAGAACTGCCATGATTTGTGAAATCGGTTGTCTTGTACGTGGTGTCTGGGTGCTGTACACACAGCATTGGCTGAGCTTCTCCTACCATGATTGTGAGCCACTCAGCACAACACAAGTCTTCTCTGAACAGTAAACCCCTCAGTACGGCTGCTATCAGTTTACAAAGCGGTTCAACTCAGTGATGGGTCTAACTGCGCCTAGGCATACCCTATGTATCCCATAAATGACTGCTGTGCCGAGTTTACAGAAATAGAGGCTCTTTCTGATGCGGGAATCTGCAGCAGACACACTGAGCAGTGCACCAAGTAACTTCTAAGTTTTTTTTACATTTATTTGCATTATGTTTTTAATATGTTATCTTTATACTACATTAAAAATAAGGGGTTATATATATTTTTTTTATCTTAAAGTTTCCCTTTAAGCACAAGTTTCTGTTTTGTCATGTTTGCTGGCTTTCTCGTTATATTAGATTGATTAACACTAGTTTCACACATATATATAATTATAATTATTTTTGAGCACCCAGCTAATCCCCAAATATTACAACCCATAATTCCATATTCTAATTAAACCTACATACTGATAATTATAGATTAATATAACGACGTATATTTATTAGAATGTAGGGTATCAGCTGAGAGCTGTCGTATTTAATTTTTCATGGGATTTACCTGTTACCTTTCCCCTTCGATAGAACCTGATTGGCCAAGTTAGGAAAAGAAAGAGAAAGATCAGGGCAGGCCATTAATTTGTTCGGCAGATTTTGACTTTGACGCGGGGTAAAAAGAGTTACACTAGCTGAGCAGAAAAAAAGCAAACGTTACAGGCAGCTGAAATAAATTCATTTAAATTATTATAGACATAAGGCCAACGTCCGAAGGCCACTGGAGTCATTTAAACTGGTTTGGTTACCCACCTGTGACCCTCCCATTGTGTTCTGAGAGTTCGTGAATTTTTTTCCACTCAGTATCCACTTTCTGGTAAATTTGAACAGCGTGGTTATTTGGACTAATGGCAATTTCTGTACAAGAAAAATGAAATGTGAGTTATTTATAAAAGACAACAAAAGTTTGTGTTTATACAGTTGGCAAAACTACCACTTGCCCTTAAGGCTACCGTGTTGGTTTATTTTATTCATAACCATACATTCATAACCATACTTATTAAAGTGATTATGTAAAAAGGAACAGGCTAGTGATCCTGTTATATACGCGTCTTTGACTGTGGATTTAGAATCTGTCTCTGTTTTGTCTGCTGGTGCTTTTGTTATCCAGCTACTTGAACATCGGCTTTTAAATTGCTGTCTGTATACTGTTTACCTTCCCTTCTAGAATTCTGTGCCAACAGCACAATCAATCCTGTAGGTAAATAGGCAGTACATACATAAATATATGCCAAGCCAATTCACAAAGGTGTGTGCATAAATATAAAAAGCACATGTGTGAATGCAGTCCACACCTGAAAAATGCAAGCAGTGTAAGTATTGGTAGCACCTATATAATTGAAGGTTGAACTTTTTTTTAAAACAAATGAGTAAATGTAATCCACCCCTACATATAGTACATGTCGAACCTCATCCTAGCTGCCAACATTTAAAAAAAATTCCAGAAAAGCAAAGACACACACACACACACACACACACACACACACAGATACACTTAAACTGATGTACAGAGACACACACAGATATACACAATGACACACATGCACAGATACACAAACACTGGCAAACTGACACACAAAAAAAAATAAACACATATTTTGACCAACTTGCTTTGGGCCCTTGGTTGGCTATACATACTGCACTAGTGGTAGTCCCCCCTGGAATGCAGGACAGGTACTGGGATTCATTTTTGCAGGGGACGAAGCATGAAACGTGGGACTGTCCTGGCAAATTCGGTCATATGCCTTATGACTACAAGTATAAACTGTAAATATAGGCTGTACCCCATTATAGGCAGCACAATAATTACTTTGAAATGCAATTTACTTACGTGTCCTATCTTTGTTCCAAGCATGACATGATATGGGGTCAATCCCAAAGCTGTACAGGGACATTGTGTGTTCTGATTAATGAATCTACAAAAGAGATATATAGAGATAATAGAACAGACACAATAGATAATAGAAAGATAAAATGTATATAAATGTAATACAATACACTACTAATTGTAAAAGAATTAATATCAAGTGTAAAACAATCTAACATTTCCCCATATCAATAAAGCTAAGCCATTGTAGTATGTTGGAACACAGAGCTCTCTCTCTTAAAATTGACATACTGAGACATGATAGGACATCACAAACCAATCACAGCCATATTCTGCTTTAACCATTGGTAATTACAGGTGTCTGTTCACTAGACATCTGCCCACTAGATGGAGACACTGAGCAACAGAGTTTGGGGCTACAACAGAGGGGGTTTTGGGGTGCAAAATAGGGGTTTTGGGAGCAACAGAGTTAAGTTTTGAAAAACAGATAGCTAGAAGCCTCTAAGGGAACAAGCTAAATGTGTGTCAGGGCCGACCATAAAGGGGGTAACCCTGACATATGTGTGTACAAAGAGAAAAGGAGACCCGGTGGGTCAAGGAAATAGGAAGTCCCTTAATTAAACTCTGTATATATAAAACATAGCTTTTAATGATTTCGTGTAGCCGCAGAAGAAGGCGCGTTCAGTAGTGCCGAAACATGTGTCAGGCAACAGGCAGCTAGGTTAGGTTTGGTTTGGTCCTTAAGGGGTTAAAAACAAGTACCATCATTTCTAATATTTTAGTTAGATTTCCATAAAAAACACTATTGCACACGAGACAGGTTGTTAGCCCATATTAGCAAGGAATATCATGTTATACAATGGGTACTTCATATTATATGGTTCCTTTTTGGTTTAACGATCAGACATTACCTGTATGTTTTATCTTATTCTTTATGTTATAACAGTGGTTCCCAAACCAGTTTTCAAGACACCCCTACTGATACCGGAGAAACTGACGGAAGCAAAGCACAGAGGGATGGACACAGGTTTCTTCAGGAAGGAAGAGATTCTTTATTGGATCACCGATCGGGACTCAGAGGGACTAATGTCACCAAAAATACAGCAAGTTCTGAGCCCTGAACAATAGTGCAGGCTCCCTATATAGGCACATAACTCCTCCCATATTAAGCTCCACCCGCACATTCTCTTGACCAATCATTACAAATAAGAATTAACTTCCTGCTTGACCGCATGGCTTGTCCAGCACAATGGAGGAGGGGAATACTACATCCTGTATTCTTGCACATGCTCCGTACACTACTGATCGTATCTTGCCTCGTGCAACCAACTGATCGATACGTCAGCATATGCACGTACACATGCCACGTGGTAATCTCGGCCTACTAAATTTATTTTTACCGAGATTCCACCACATTCCCCCCTTTGATGCCTCTTGATATTTTACAATTACTTGAGGCATCACTTAACCTTGGTTTGCATACACCACAAGTTACCTTTGAACCAGACCAGACTTATCCTATGATGTGAATCTTCAACACTCGTCTTCCTGCATTGGTTCTCCCTGATCTAGAGCCTTATATTTATAAATTGCCATTATCTGTGCAGCAGCCTTCCTCTCTGCTATATTTTCTATCAGGCTTTGCACAGACCTAACTACTAAGGGTATAAGACACGGCAGGAGTAGACACAACATTAAAATCAGTAGGACTCCACCTACCACTGCCTTAAGCCCTCCAAACCACTCATACCAGCTACCAAACCAACTACTTGGATTGTACCCTTTCCATACCTGAGTAGGCACATGCGCTAGTTTAACCATATGGCTAGTAAGCTCAGCTATTGCTTGCCCTTCGTCATCTATTTGAAGACAGCAATTGCTCAGGTTAAACTTCCCACATACACCTCCCTCTACTGCCAAAAGATAATCCAAGGCTAATCTATTTTGGTAAACTGCTGTTCTCATCCTGGTATTATGCTTCGCTAGAAGATTGAGCGCTTGTGATGTCTCGTTAGTAATGATCTCAACCACCGCCTGTAACCTTATAATGCGGTTGAGCATATAAATAGGGTTTCTATAACCAAAGGTACCATCCTCTGCCCACGTGGCTGGCCCATAATAATCTATAATACGCTGGGGAGGCCATTCATTATCTTCCCAGGCACCTATCTCTATGGGTCCCCTTTTCTTCCTATGATTCACATCATACACTTTAACACCTAAAGTCTCACCTGTTTCAATAGGCAACAAGAAGAAGGATGGTTTTAACATACCCAACACACATGCCCCTTCCCAGTCCTGTGGTAACTCCGAATAGGCCTTCTTACCACAGATCCAGTACAAATTCGCTGGGGCTCTCCAGTTAGATGTGATGGATAGATCAAACCATACGTCCTTTAAATTGGCATATCTTGCAAACGGGTTAGATGGTTCTGAGATATTTGAAGCCGACCACCAAGTTGTATTCTTTGTATCATCATCATAAGCTTTTTGCCCTAGACAAGTTAATTCTCCTACAGAAGTATTATACATCATTCCTTTCCTCGCTATGCAAACATAACCTATGATGGAGGTCTTCAATCTCCACTCAGATTTACCTCTAACACTCATATGATAGTCGGCTTGTGTAGATATTAATTGGTCAACTGCCTCAGAACCGGACATTACCTCCTTTGCTTCCCAAGGCCATTGGTCTCCCATGTTAGTACCTCCACACACATAGCAGTTGGTAACATTAAGACTACCGGCAATACTTTCGGCTAAATCAATGAACAAGTTTTTAGCATTATGGGGGATCTTATTATCTATGCTCATCTCTTCATAAAAGGAATGGTATACTTGATGAGTTTGGGAGGTTACCGTATCAGTCTCTATCCCTATAAACAATATTGTCCCAGGGTCTAAACCCGTCCCATATATTTGAAACCCAAATAAATTACCATATTTATCTAAGAACTTGTCAGGGTTATTTATAAGTATATGGATTGGATTGCATTCCATAGACTTACAATATGGATCAGTAGGCAACTTAGTCACAATCATGTCCTTGTCTACTGTCTGTCCCCAAGTCGCCCACCCCACACAAGACCAATATGGGCAGAAGTTATAATCTCTATTTGGGCATCTTGGACTTACATATTTATTTTTACTACTGGGACAAATATATTTATCGTTAGACCCATACGTCCTCTCCCATCTAAGATCCCCACATACATTCCACGGCTTTCTACCACTTGATATTGCTTTACACGCATCAAATAGCAGAGCACCTGAAGAATATACGGATTTTAATACCGTCTTATTAATTAGGGTCCCCTGAGATCTCCATTTCTGAGAGTCAACCAAATTGTACGGGGTTGATACTCAGGACTGAAGCACTTAGGTTCTCCTACTCCTAAATGACACACACTATATTCTATATTTAAGTATCTACATCTTGATACATCTCCTTTACACTCATATTGCGAATGCCAAATTAGGGTCTGGGATATATGGTTACCTGTTCTTGTAGTCTTAATGCATACCTCACAGCTAGGAGTGTCGGTACCTCTACCTTCCTGAATATAAAAATACACATAAATAAACATTATTAAAAATACATCTTTCGTCGTCATCCTCAGTCTTCGTCCGTGCGAAGGCACCTCAGCTTCCAGGATGTAAGGGCTGCAGGGAATGGAGTTCTGCTCGTCTTCACAGGGGTCCCTCAAGACTTTCCCTGACTTATACACTCGTTGGTGAGTGGACAGGCTTTATTATGGCCTTCTCACTCACTTACCAAGTCTCTGAAACAATAAAATTTGTAATCCACAAGGTTCCTCGTCACTCCGACTGAGTCGTGCGTTTTAACCGGATCTTGCAGGGATTCTCTGGATTTGCTGTAACTTGCCAGGAATCGGCTGCTGCTGGTTTAACCCTGGAGTGATGTATCCACGGAGCCACTTCGGCTACTTTTATCGCTGTAGGGGTAGACAGAAGAACAACATAAGGACCTCTCCACTTGGGCCCTAACGGCACATTATTCCACTCTTTAATCCACACTTGGTCGCCTGGGTGGTAACTATGAATTGGGGGATAAACTTATCCAGATAAGATTGGATGTTCTTCTTAGCCTTCTGCGGAATATGATATTGTCTCAGGCTTACTGGATAAACCCCAAGTTTTAGTTCGATTTTAATAGGTGGAATATTACGGGCGAGTCCTGGTGGGTTGTTCTCTGCCCAAACTCCTGGTATGTTAAATAAGGATTCATCACTCCTCGGGTTTTGGCTAGTCAACACTGTATAAAGTCGCCACTCTTCTTCCTTTGGTACGGACAATGTCATAATACCTGAGGGTCCATTAAACTTTAAGGATGTTGTTCCATTTGGTAGGAACGTAATCTGCGCTTGTAATTTGGATAGCATATCACGTCCCAGCAATTGGACTGGACACTCAGGCATATAAAGGAATTGATGTTTTACTACGTGGCCTCCCAATGTACAGAGTCGACTTTTAAGAACCGGTTTTTCAGCACTTCTTCCAGTTGCTCCTATTACAGTAATAGTTCTTCCAGATGGAGGAGCAACTTGATTAGTCACCACCGAATGTTCAGCACCAGTGTCGATCATAAACGCACTCCTTTTTCCCCCTATTGATACATCGACCATAGGCTCCGCTCGACCAAGGGGGATGGAGCCCGGTCGGTATCAATAGTCCTCCATGACCGTGTCAGCCAATCCCACAAAGTCCCTACCTTCTCTATCGCGGGACCTTTGCGCTGCTGGATAGTACCTATCTTCCCTTACACTTCCTCTGTTCCCATTACTCCCTCTATTACCATTACTCCCTCCGGGGCCTCCTCTACCTCTCGCTCTGCCTCTAAAGTTTCCGTAACCTGCCCTGGGTAAGTCTCTCTCATACTGCTCTCTTTGCGGACACTCGTTCCTCCAATGCCCTTCTTCCTTACAGTACGCGCACTGATTCCTACTCAAAGGCTCCCTATTCCATCTACCATCGCCTCTATCTGGGCCCCGTCTATCTACGCCTGCGATCGCTACCGCTAGCATATCTGCCTTTCTACGCATCTTGCGCTCTTCCTCTTTCTTACTTTCTGTTTCCCTATTCATATATACTTTGTTCGCTACCTCCATTAGTTGGGTGATAGACATACCTGCAAACCCTTCTAATTTCTGTAGCTTGCGCTTAATATCTCCGTAAGCTTGGCTGACAAAGGCGGAGTTTACCATTCGGGAATTATCAGCGTCTTCCGGATTAAAGGGGGTATACAAGCGGTATGCCTCCAATAATCGGTCATAAAAGACACTGGGCGCTTCATCACTTTTCTGAATCACCTCAACTGTCTTCGACATGTTAATAGCTTTCTTCCCTCCGGCTTTCATGCCAGCAATTATAGCATCTCTATAGGCTTTAAGTTGAGCCATATCTGCGCCATTTACATTCCAGTCAGGATCGGTGTTAGGGTAATGTGTTGCGGCCCATGCTGCCGGATTGGCTTGATTTAAAGCACGGGCTCTCTCCTCTAGCGCCTTAATGGCCGCTTGGTTAATCCTTGTCCTTTCCTCATTATTGAACAATGTCATTAATAACTGCTGGCAATCAGCCCATGTCGGGTTATGTGTCTGAACTATCGAGGTGAACAGATCGGTCATAGCTTGTGGTTTCTCAGTGTACGAGGAATTGTGGGTCTTCCAATTCAAGAGATCGGTAGTCGTGAACGGGACATATACGAAGACTGGGTCAGCATGTGCCATTTGACCTGCGGCATCGATATAGGCTGACCCAGGATTCAGACGAAGAGGCATCTGATAATGTTTTAATTGTTGGGTACCGGTCAGTTGTCGGGTTAGTATGGGGCTACGTGGAGGGGCGTCAGTTAAAGGTTCCGGTCGAGAGGTAATAGGGCATGAGGATGTGGGAACTTGATTTTGGGAAAAATTAGTGAATAGTATACTCCGAGCCGAGCTAGAAGAAGCTTGACCGGAAGTTTGAAGTGGCGCCAAATCAGGATATTCAGATCTAATGGGGGTTGGTCCTGGTTCAGGAAGGGGAGTTTTAATACGAGGGGGGGTGGATTCTGTACTGGAGGAGGAAGCGGAAGTGGATGGGGGCAATAGGGGAAGGGGTGCAGAACTTCCTGCATTCGCGTCACTTCCTCTTAAAGGGAAGTAAGGGGGCGGCAAAGGGATCTCGGACTCAGGGGGCGTGTCCAAAATGGGCCTAACACCGGTCCTAGTGGACAAATAAGTCCTGGCCACCATGAGGCGACATTGCTCCTCGTGGCATATCCGGATCCATTTTGGCGAGTCGTTTACGGCCTGCCTCCAACAATCAATGTATGGAAACTGTCCGTAAAGTTCAGGCCTACCTGATACAGCCACGTGTACACGCTGTACCAGGGTTGGATCCAAACTGCCACGCGGCGGCCATGCCGCAACCAAAATAGGCCACTCCCTAGTGCACAAAGTGACCAAACGTACAGGAGACATTTTAACCCCAAAATCACATGTTTTGAATCCCTTTTTAAAATTCTTTACCATACAACCTAAGGGATCCGAAATCGTTGACTCTGACGCGCCCATACTTATCAATGGAACGTCGTTGACAACGAATACTATGCACGCGTTCTTATTCAACAGTCACACCCGTTTCCTCTGGCAACAGCACCACGTGGTATAGTTACCGAGTGAAACGTACACAATAACACAATAATCACTCAGGGAATTCCCGTACACACACAGCTGTTACACCAGTCACTAAATAATCAATATTATGCCCTTTGGCGAAACTATACAGTCACCCACGCTATAATTCTCTATATATGAATTACCCGTCTATAACACACCCCAGTAACATCGTCTTTTACTAGTATCGGTTACAGTACGGTTAGCATAGGTCAAAGCACAATTTAAGGTCACAATACAATTATTAGTGGTTACGGTGTTAAACATGCAATAGACGACAATGATTAGTACTTATATACAGTGTCAGTAAATATACAGGGTTATGGTACCGTGCACTATGATACAGCAACACACTATTAACACTCTCGCTAGACGGCTGAGCTCGCGCTATCTAACAAGATATACACTTTACTAACAATCTTTAACACATTTACAATCCCAACTAAACTATTGGCCAGTACCTTGAATGGACTACCTAAAACTATATACACCCGCTTTGGTTAGCCACACTGCCCAAACACCACATATAGCGAACTAGAGGGCGAAATTTACAAAATTGCCCTTCTAGTCTATTTACTCTATCAAAAGTCTAGTGGGTTCCAAATTTACACGCCTTCCCACTTAGCCAAGATAGGTTGAGAGCTAGCGAACCGAATTTACACAGGCGCCGCTTAGTCTCCCGGTCCCTCCGACCTAGCGAACGTAATATACACCCTAGAACGCTAGTCTAGACAAGACACCGGTGTCCGGCTAGGGCTATTTACACAGGACCCCGCCTGACTAACCAGATCAAACGGTCTTACTAAAGAGCGTTCGATCGAGCGGTGCGCCTTCGCTCCTTCCCTCCGACAGAGGGGGCAGATTCCATACACAGATTTAAACCCCTTTTGGGCCTACCGCACAATCGGTATACCCCTAGTGGGTCTGCCGTCTAAAACAGCAGTTGTCTTACCTCCTCGTTCCTGAACCTGAGTTCACACTCATCGACGGGGACACCCCAGCACTTCTTACGTAGAGGCCGATGATCTCCTGGACAACAGACCAGTGGCGCCGAGACGAAGGGAGGTCCACGCAGAAGTTCAGGGGTGCAGCCGTAGAGAACGTGGGCAAAGATAGACCGTCTCACGCCTCTGCCTCTCAGCTACCGTTGAACGATGAGCTTCCCGGCCAATGCACCAAATGATACCGGAGAAACTGACGGAAGCAAAGCACAGAGGGATGGACACAGGTTTCTTCAGGAAGGAAGAGATTCTTTATTGGATCACCGATCGGGACTCAGAGGGACTAATGTCACCAAAAATACAGCAAGTTCTGAGCCCTGAACAATAGTGCAGGCTCCCTATATAGGCACATAACTCCTCCCATATTAAGCTCCACCCGCACATTCTCTTGACCAATCATTACAAATAAGAATTAACTTCCTGCTTGACCGCATGGCTTGTCCAGCACAATGGAGGAGGGGAATACTACATCCTGTATTCTTGCACATGCTCCGTACACTACTGATCGTATCTTGCCTCGTGCAACCAACTGATCGATACGTCAGCATATGCACGTACACATGCCACGTGGTAATCTCGGCCTACTAAATTTATTTTTACCGAGATTCCACCACACTACCAGTCCAGAATTTAGGGATTACCCATGACAGGCGCACAGTCAGATTTACCAGCATATGCGCTAACCTTACCCTGAACACATTAAGACATGGACACAGGTTATACTGTTGGAAATATTAGTCCACAGCTTTATTAATAATTAATTAAGGAATAACAAATAGGGTAATTGCCAACAAATATTATTAAAGCCAACATCCCCCCATATACATAACATACCCCAGGAAATGACCCCACAATAATAACAATCTAATTAACATATTAACACAGAAACTGGCCTTCCAATATGACCACATTTCCACCAGATTAAATTGTAGGGTTGTACCAAGACACCGCTACACCCACAAGTTCCAATGACGGGCTCGAACCTACCAACCAAGGGTATCACTGCCTAATCCAAAATAAACCTCCAGATGCCCACTTCCTCCTGCATGTACCCCCTGATTTAACCTGGCCATTCCACGCCGCTGTGAAAAAAACGTGAACATTTTCTAACCTAACCAAAGTCAGGATGGGTGGGAGGGACAACTAACAGGTAAGTTTACATTTAGTTAAGATGGCCATTTCCCAAAATGGCCAGTATAAATAATCCCATCGTAGCTTCGCCCCCCACAGCTTGCTAGCTGTCACTCATCTTCCCTTGGCTGTTATGCCTACCTCCTGGCTCTGTCAAAGCCCACTCCACTAGCTGCGCTGATCCATGGGCTACAGTTGTGTTTTTGTTTTTTTTCGTTTTCTAAAAACACCTTTGACACAACTGGGTAATCCCTAAATCCTGGAGTGGTAATGGTGCCTTGAGGACTGGTTTGGGAACCACTGAGTTAGAAGATTTTACTTGCGCATTTTGTTTTTTTTTTTACATCCGAGCATATGCTATGTTTGTTGTTGCTATCTTTAAATAATTGTTTATGAAATCGTCAGCTCTTCGCCTTTTGTTCCCGTATGTCATACACATTTTGTAAGAATTAAATATTTGTCTTGTATCCTATGGTACAGCACTACGGAATGTTTTGGTGCCGTATGTAAATAATTGAAATTCTACAAATAACACTATTTTGTGCCATTACTTAAATGATGTAAAGAGTATGTATTTGATTATTTGTGCTGGTAGCTTTGACACTGAATTTTAAACAGCAGCTGATCAGGTTTTCTATTTTCGTAATATGTTGAGACTTGAAAGGGAGCCAGGATAGGTTAGGACTTGATCTGAGATCTTGGTGTATTGAGAACAGCCTTTAGGAATTTCAGCAATGCCAGAATATTCAGCTTTATATTACTATTAATCGCTAAACAGAACAGCCATTCACACTTCCTACTCAATAAAAAGATTGCTCTTTTAAGGTATGCCAAAGAGCTTGCACTCTAAGCAGTGAGTTATGATGAGTTGTGGGCCGAATTGCAAAATTAAGAAAAAAGGAGATTTTTTGACACAACTCACCGCTTAGTAAATAGCATTTTCCTTGTTTTTCTGAATCGACTGTAATATGACTGCTGAATAGATGTTGAAAAACTTAATGTTGCACTTTATGCAGGTCAGATAAACTAAATACAAACTTACATTCAAGTGCTATCATATTCCATAGAGTGGTAATGTAATGTTAAAAATAGCTCAGCCACAGAGAGTACCTGTACAGAGCGGCAGTGAGGGGCCTGTTTTAGAGGCTGCAGTTTAATTAAAGGGACACTGTTGGTTCCATAGTAGTGATTGCAATGGTCAAGAAGAAAGGAATATTGGGTGCTGTACACTTTTTTTTTTGTTGTTAAAATGTTTTTGAGTGATTGGACAATAAAAAAAGTAAGTATCTACTGGCACTCAATGCCTGTCCCCTAAACTGATGCTCAGATAATGCAGAAGTTTCATTGTGGACAATCTGTGCAAAGCTGAGCATTCTACGATGGCAGTTATGGGATGCGATCATGCAAGTTATGGGTTACTTAGCAGATCACTCAAACAGGGGACTTGATCTTTAAAAGCATGACATAAAGCCTAGATTCCTCATTTAATCAGCCCCTGATAGTCTTACATTTCTCGCTTGGTTGGCTTAAGGATTTATTGCTAACAGAAATGAGAGCTCCTTTGCTACAAAATAATGGAAATTCTCAGCACTTGATCAAATGAAACAAAAAATATCGTCCAACTTTATTGTTTATGTATCTCGGCTGGTGGGTGGTGGCTGACACTCCTTAATCATAAGACATTCCTGTGCATCGAGTTTTAGTAGGCTATATCAGGACGCCTTGTGCATTCCGGATAATTATAACCAGCATTTAAGTCAACATAGATTTTTTATTAAAAAAAAATATATATTTATTCTGGTCGTGACAGATAATATTACGCAATTGTTGTGACATTGTGAGGGCTTGCGCAGAAGCCAGCATTTGCATATTCAATACAATATTTTGTTTTTACATTGTTACGGCTTACGCAGAAGCCAATGTTAGCATGGTATTACTGTTTCGGTTCGTGCGCCCTCTGCAATATCATGTACTGTCACTTTTACATTTTATAACATCATTAAAACACTAAAACCAAGCAAATAAAGAGATATAGAAGAAGGAAAAAAGGAATGGGAGGAGGTGGAAATTCTCCCAGTGTGTGATGTTGTTAGTGGTAGAGGGCCTTGTTCGCTGGTAGAGAGGTTTATCGTGTGTTCGTGTCATTGGCCCGCAGTCGCCGTGCGTAGCACGTGCATGTGCTTACGCGCCTTTCAGCGTACGATCTTAGTTTACCCTGTAACCTTTGGGGTAGTTAAGTCGAGGATGTCCATTGTTTGCTACATAGGGCGGTACAGTGGTATTTAGAAATAGAGTAGTGGTACGGAGGGGGGAGAGGGGGACGGTGTTTCTACCAATCTGGAAGTGTTTCCTTTAAATAGACCATTTGAAGAATGCGTAATACATCTTGCTGTCACTGCACATCTATTTCTAATATCACAATGGGCAGTTACTACATGCGCTGTTACAAAATACTGAGTTTGCAGCACAAGTTGCCAAAGCGGCCATATTTTTCTAAACATATATCCCTTCTGAATTGTGATGAATAGGGTATGAAATATATTGCCCTGTAACGTGCCATATAATTGCTGCAGGTAATAAAGAAATAATTCCATAACTCAAGGAGGAAATAATTAACTTCTGATTAGGTAAACATTTAAGCATCCCACTTTCTTTCAAAAACGAATTTCCCTCCTGATGAATCCTGAATATTTCAAGGTAGCACTTTTCATGACCTGCTAATCAGCATGCAAACAATATATAGCAAAACATAAAGAAATATTGAGACATTTTAATATTTGTTCTATTTAGTTTTAAATGAACTCCAAATTCTATTTTCAGAACATGCAAACCATTTTAATGATATTATAAATAATCCACATGCTATGTATGATGTAATTAGTATTCTAAATCCAATGGCAGATGAACATTGGAGGCTTACCTTGACTCTCACGTAAAGTTCCGATGTGACTCTCTGCTGTGTTCCTGCTGTATATTTTAAACTAGATTGGGTGCGGCAGCTAAAACGCTCAGAAACATTCCTTGCAGCATTTACCTGAACACAAATATGTAGAGAGGAGGAGTCCTCCTTAGATTGGTCTCACCATGCCTCGAGGCAATCTCCATATCTCGGAGATAAGTATACATTAAAGGACCTCTAAAGGCACCCAGATCAGTTAATCTGAATAAAGTGGTCCTTAAAGGGACACTATAGTCACCTGAACAACTTTAGCTTAATGAAGCAGTTTTGGTGTATAGAACATGCCCCTGCATTGAGCCTCACTGCTCAATCCTCTGCCATTTAGAAGTTAAATCCCTTTGTTTATGAACCCTAGTCACACCTCCCTGCATGTGACTTGCACAGCCTTCCATAAACACTTCCTGTAAAGAGAGCCCTATCTAGGCTTTCTTTATTGCAGGTTCTGTTTAATTAAGATTTTCTTATCCCCTGCTATGTTAATAGCTTGCTAGACCCTGCAAGAGCCTACTGTATTTGATTAAAGTTCAATTTAGAGATTGAGATACAATTATTACATCTGTTTGAAAGTGAAACCAGTTTTTTTTTCATGCAGGCTCTGTCAATCATAGCCAGGGGAGGTGTGGCTAGGGCTGCATAAACAGAAACAAAGTGATTTAACTCCTAAATGGCAGTGAATTGAGCAGTGAAATTGCAGGGGAATGATCTATACACTAAAACTGCTTTATTTAGCTAAGGTAATTTAGGTGACTATAGTGTTCCTTTAAGTTTTAACCGTTCAATATAAATATCTCTGCAGAGATGGGTAACGTTTGCACCAGATGTTTAAGGACTACATTACCCATGACAATTACCTGAAGGTTAAGGTCAGCAGGGTTTATGGTTTGGAGGGGGCCTTTAGTTTACCCTAACCTTAGGGTTAGGAGCAAGACTTGCTTTTTGACTTCCAGCTCCCATGATAGTCATCCAGACAAACACCAATAATTTCAAACCTTTCCTAACCCTAAACACCTAACTCGGAGCCCCCTAGCCTAATTAGGAACAAAAAGAATGCCACGCAGCAAACTGTTCCACACCACATCATGACTTCACTCTCAATTTTGTATTTCGGTCCTGCCATACGGAGGTTTTACTCTAATTCTCCACTTCTGGGAACACTAGTCAAAAGTACAGAGAGGGCTAGTATATAAATGTACTTGCAGATGCACTGGGACATGATAAAGCAACCTTCAGCACTCCAGATGTTGTGGACTAGACCTCCCCTGATGCTTGGCCAGCATGGTGCGTTATGGGGAATATAGTCCACAACATCTGGAGTGCTGAAGGTTGCCTGCACTAGGAGATTATAGGGTATAAGGACTTATATGGGAGAACTTCAGTGGAGCTATGTGAATGGGCAGCCCAGCATGGCTACCTGTCTAGACAATATGGCATCCTGGTGCTTTTGGCTTGCCGTAAGATGACTGAATAGACTTGATACAGCTCAATAAAGTTGGTGCAATTCTATTATATTCCTCACAAGTCATAACGTTTTCATTTTGCATGTAGTAGTTAAAGGACCACTATAGTGCCAGGAAAACATACTCGTTTTCCATAGTGCCCTTAGGGTGCCCCCACCCTCAGGGTCCCCCTCCCGCCTGGCTCTGCGGAGAAGAAAGGGGTTAAAACTTACCTTTCTCCAGCGCCGGGCGGGGAGCTCTCCGCCTCCGATCCTCCTCCTCTCCTCCCTTTCGGCTGAATGCGCACGTGCGGCAAGAGCTGCGCACGCATTCAGCCGGTCTCATAGGAAAGCATTTACAATGCTTTCCTATGGACGCTTGGGTGTTCTCACTGTGATTTTCACAGTGAGAATCACGCAAGCGCCTCTAGCGGCTGTCAGTGAGACAGCCACTAGAGGATTTGAGGGCTGGATTAACCCATTTATAAACATAGCAGTTTCTATGAAACTGCTATGTTTATAAAAAAAAGGGTTAATCCTAGCTGGACCTGGCACCCAGACCACTTCTTTAAGCTGAAGTGGTCTGGGTGCCTAGAGTGGTCCTTTAATACAAAATGCAGAACAGACTATAGTCTTCAAGATACCATTACCTTCATAACTGTTTCAGCCCAGTAATGCAGATGCAAAGCATGCAATATCTTCTAATAATTTTATTCGGCCGACATAATTTTGAAACAACAAGCTTTCAAGAGATCCACTCTAAATTTTGAGAAACACCCAAAGACTGAGCATTCCAAAATCATTTCAGTACAGTAAAAAAAAAGTATTGTAAGATACTGCAATACGCCAGAATTCTCTGAAATTTGGAGAAATAACAAAACGAAACAATGACAAACTTGCAAATATGAGCAAATCATGTGCTGATAGTACTAAATTCTCTTGCACACTATCCCAAATCCCTATGCATGTTTAAATAACTCAAGATTTTTAGTAGCACTCCAATGGCCATTGGATTGTAAGCTCCCCGGCCACATCAAGGCCATTCGACTGCTACTAGAAACCTCCAGTTATTTAAATATGCATAGAGATTTGGGATAGAGCGCAGGTAAATCTTTTCTTTGTCTTTGTTTGTACAAGGCAGGTACATGTCTGAAATACAAAACAAAAACAAAATTCTTTGTTTGGGGCTGATGTGTACTATGGTCATTGCTGCCGCCCTGGAGTAGTGGGAGTCTGAGCGCAGGACTTATTTTTGTGTATTAGTAATAGTACTAACAGTCAGAGAAAATATTAAATTTGTTTTCTCAAAAGATATATCTATATATAAAATCAGAAAACGTTCATTCACACTCGTACATCCTCTCTATATCACTTTTGCATTTTTAGGGTTATTAATATTTGGGTTTTTTTTTATGGAAAATCCTGTGTGGAGCACACAAACAGGGTTATTCACTAAAAATGAGAATTCAAAGTGAATTTCAAATTTAAGGCCAGGTAAACCAAACTGAACGCAACGCTGACATAGAGAATTCTTTCAGTTCAGGTAGTTTGACCTTAAATGTAAAAATCACCTTGAATTCTCATTTTTAGTGAATAACTCTGTTTGTGTGCTCCACACAGGATTTTCAAGTGAAAATAACATACGTTTCTCAAGACATCTTGTGAATGGGGAGCTACTGACTGCCTTAGAGCAGCGTTTCCCAATTGGTGTTCCGCAGAACCCTGGGGTTCCGACAAAATTTCAGGAAACAAAATGGCCACCGCGATAATTGAGGCGGGCAGCGAGGGAGCTGAGCAGGGGAGAGTTATATCTCTATATTGCCCAAGCTCTCTCTGTATATTATCCAAGTTATATCTCTATATTGCCCCGGCTCTCTCTGTATATTATCCAAGTTATATCTATATATTGCCCCGGCTCTCTCTGTATATTATCCAAGTTATATCTATATATTGCCCCGGCTCTCTCTGTATATTATCCAAGTTATTTCTATATATTGCCCCGGCTCTCTCTGTTCACTCTCTGTATTAGGGGGTTCACTCTCTGTATAATGCAGGGTTCACTCTCTTTATTGGGGGTTCACTCTCTGTGATAGGGGGTTCACTCTCTTTATTAGGGGGTTCACTCTCTGTATATTAGGGGGTTCACTCTGTATTAGGGGGTTCACTCTCATTATATTATGGTGTTCACTCTCTGTATTTCAGGGTTCACTTTCTTTATTAGGGGGTTCACTCTCTTTATATTACAGAGTTCACTCTCTGTATTAGAGGGTTCACTCTCTGTATTAGGGGGTTCACTCTCTGTATTTCAGGGTTCACTTTCTTTATTAGGGGATTCACTCTCTTTATATTAGGGGGTTCACTCTCTGTATTAGGGGGTTCACTCTCTTTATATTAGGGGGTTCACTTTCTTTATTAGGGTGTTCACTCTCTGTATTAGGGTTCACTCTCTGTATTAGGGGGTTCACTCTCTGTATTAGAGGGTTCACTTTCTTTATTAGGGGTTCACTCTCTGTATTTCAGGGTTCACGCTCTTTATATTAGGGCGTTCACTCTCTTTATAATTGTTGTGGAAATAAGGTCTACACATATTTCCTAGTTAGTTAAAAAATGTCTATTTACTCATTTCACAATATATTACATAAAAATTATGCACATATGTTCTAATCAAGATGGCTGCTAGAAGCTTCTAACCCCTCCTCCCCCTCCCCTTAACACCGACTAACTACCTCGTGCAGCAAGATGGCGCCGGGAAACCGTGGGAGACCCTCATGGCCCCGGTGACATCACCCTTAGTAGGCAGAGCATTAGGAAGACCACTTAACACCTAACCAATAATTGATGTATTATGCCATGTTATCTCTGACAATGCTTATGATGTAATTTTGCTTTTAAAGGGACCTGCCGTCCCCTCTGAATAAACTTTTCCTCAAGTTATTCAACAACCTGAAACTTGTGTCTGGTGTGAATTACTTCAGGGAGCGTGCACGCATTGTTTCATCAATTTGGCCAGGGGCAGATACACAAAGAAATAATCAATGCATTGATTGATTTTTCCATTTCAATAATATTAGGGGGTTCACTCTCTGTATTAGGGGGCTCGCTTTCTTTATTAGGGGGCTCACTCTCTTTATATTAGGGGGTTCACTTTCTTTATTAGGGGTTCACTCTCTTTATATTAGGGGGTTCACTTTCTTTATATTACAGGGTTCACTCTCTTTATTAGGGGGTTCACTTTCTTAATATTACAGGGTTCACTCTCTGTTTTAGGGGGTTCACTTTCTTAATATTACAGGGTTCACTCTCTGTTTTAGGGGGTTCACTCTCTTTATATTACAGGGTTCACTCTCTGTATTAGGGGGTTCACTCTCTGTTTTAGGGGTTCACTCTCTGTATATTAGGGGGTTCACTCTCTGTTTTAGGGGGTTCACTCTCTTTATATTACAGGGTTCACTCTCTGTATATTAGGGGGTTCACTCTCTGTTTTAGGGGGTTCACTCTCTTTATATTAGGGGGTTCACTTTCTTTATATTACAGGGTTCACTCTCTTTATTAGGGGGTTTACTCTCTGTATTAGGGGGTTCACTTTCTTAATATTACAGGGTTCACTCTCTGTTTTAGGGGGTTCACTCTCTTTATATTACAGGGTTCACTCTCTGTATTAGGGGGTTCACTCTCTGTATATTAGGGGGTTCACTCTCTGTTTTAGGGGGTTCACTCTCTGTATATTAGGAGGTTCACTCTCTGTATT